CTATTGTTAATTGCTATTGATTATAGATTTATTGAAAAACATTTTATTTTTATTCTGGTCACCAAAAGTGTAACAGATAAATTAAATTTTATTCATACTATGAAGTTGTAGAAATTATCAAACATAATTCAGCAGTGTTTAAAATGTTTTCCAATGTTCGTTTTACTAGGTATTAAAGTTAGCATTCATATATTTAGCTCAACTTCACAAATTGCAACTAAATTACATAAAAATATAGATAAACTTATGGGATAATAATAATCAAATTAGTTGTATTTTATCTTATATGCTTAGAATATATATACCAATATTTCTGTAACCTCATTCTTATATTAATTATGTAATTAACCTATTTAAAATTAACATTTTTCTAGGACATGAATACTAATAATGTGCAATAATTATAATGGTTTGAAACGAACGCAAGTTCAATAGGCGAGTCAATTTTTTTAAGTCAATACGTTCAGGTACACAATAAGTCTAAAGTTACAAGTAACTATATAACATGCATATATATGATATGGCGCTTGTGTATACTGAGTATAAATAAGTAACGTTTCTGTGAAAAATCTGACGAGTGACATTGTAATATTCAGTGAATACATATATCACTACGACTGTTATAGTCTTCGGACAATGTGTTTGAAATCAATTTGTTTTTGTCACTCTACCACGGGGCCGCACCTGAATTTCTTATAGAATAATTCGTTTTGAGTGTGTACTGACTAACGCTACCTTGGCTTATACATTTTAAATACATATGTGTTGTCTATTTAAGACTATGATAATAGTTTTCAAGTGTAAATCTACAGTGCTGTTCTAAATAAACACAGATATCAAAATCGGCGGCGTATATGAGTATTTTTTCGACAGTTTAACAATAATGGTATAACCAAATTTGCAACGGATTCGTTTCAGAATCACGACAATTGTACTTCGTTTAAAAATAATAACAGTATGAAATTATTATGTTTTTTTTTTTTTTTTGTTATATTCAATTTTATCCTTTATCTTATAGTAATCTATTGATTATATTAATTTTCCCACCGTCATTTTATGCAATTGGTTACCTGACCACTTAGGGGTCCGGTTTGATTTCATTCTGGTTGGGCATTTTATCAGCCTAAACATTAAAGAATTTACAATCAGGATCTTGTACAATTTTATATAAAGTTGATATTGAGTATTCGATAATTAGTTAATGTAGTATAAGTTTTTATTTTAAGTAATTTACATAATCAAATTTCAATAACCAAAAACCAGAAGTATAATATATCTACCCATTTTATAGTGACAGTTACTATGATAAGATCTTATTCAAAATGCCAATAGTATATATGATTAAGCTTGAATGCCAATAAATGTTCCTATCAAAAATGAATCAACTATTTTTACATAAATTATCTTCCTTACCTCGTCTGAAAAAACTTTGATTGTAAACCGCAAAAGAATTATTAGTTAATCATTTTCCTTCTCTTTTTCTTTTTTCTGCTCTGGTACTTCTTTGTTCGTTACACTTTTAGCCCATGAAAGTCCGGGATAATCCACGTTATAGTTACTTATATATATATATTTAAAAGCTTTATTTTTTTAATAATTAATAAGTTATTGACTTACCTTTTTCTTTTGCGATTAAAAATTTTCAAAAAAATGTTAATTAGTATTCATGTATTTGAATAAATTAAATAGGAATTCAATCCGAATAAATGTAGTGCGTTAATTAACATTGTATAGGTTCGAAAAAAAAGAAAGAAGAGGAAAAATGTTATAAATATACTCATAAAACACAGGTATAGAAGATATAAAAATTAAGTAGATAATCCATGTAAACGTAAAGTGACCAAAAATTAAAACACTTTTACTGCAAGATTGGAATGAGTTATAAAAAAAAAAGTGCCTTAGAAATGAAAAAATGAAAAAGAAAAATTTTTCTTTTTTTTGCATGATACAAATATATTGCCTTTGTATATGTTCGTAGAACTTAACTCGAGTTTTATTGGAAAAATTTTAATCATTTTAAATTCATCCATATTGATGATTATTTATAGTTTTGTATCAAAAAAAAAAAAAAAAAAATAATAATAATAATAAATATCATGCTGGCCTAATTCACAATTACAATTAACTGTAGGTATGTACATATATATATATTGCATACCTATTTGCTATTTAAATTTAGTCGATCTTATTTTATTGGATTGACCTTTTTAATATAATTTGATTTCTAAACGTGAATAATAGATAAATAATTTCTTAACTCGTATGAGAGTGTGTGTCGAAAAGTACTGACTCTTGAATGTCAGTTCTCTTCAATTGAATAAGATACAATGAGACTCTATGACCCATGTATAGAATGCTCGATGACAAGGCGGATTAGACATGAGTTTTATCACATGACAAATGACCAACGAGTTTAAATTAATTAACGCGTCGAATTTTGTAAGAAATTAACTTGATCAGTCTCACGATTTTGCTTAAAATCTTGCAAAACACAATTTGGTAAATGCACGTACTAGATGTGACTGCATAACAAGACATGGTCATCTATCAAATAGCACAATATTTATTTAATACACATTTAAAAATTATTTGGTTTAAAATTGTTTTTATTTTTTTTTAGAATATTTGCACATTTTGTTTATTATTGATGATATATTATCAACGAAGCGAATAATTTAGTATTGTAAATAATTTGTATAGACATTTAAAATTATCATTGCAATAGTTGTAGTAAGAAATGTTTATGTGTGTGTAATCAAAGTGTAAATCACTTTATTAAATTGAGTTATGTTAAAAATAGTTCTCTGGATGTAATGATTTATAATAGTTCAAATTTAAAGATGCGGATCTCAGTAGACTTATACATTTTCGAATCTTATTAGGTTGGATTTTTTAATTATTAAGTGAAACTGACTAAAAATTATTAATTCAAACTGATTTTAAATTACATATTTATATAATAATTTCGTTTTCTCCTATCTGATCTTTCGATGATATATCGTGTTATTTCCGATTATATGTAAATATTAATTATGTGTAGAGCTATAAATATATTGATAAGTTTAAATTAATGTATAATAAATTATAATCATATATTGCTTTTGTGTATTATGCGATATGCATACAATACATTTCTGTTCTATTTTATGCGACAATAGCAATGTAAATTGTTATAAGAGGTTCATCGTATTTATACAATCTAGTCCTATAACATATATCTCATTGTAAGTTAAATATTAAGCAGTGGGATTTAATAACAAAATCATTTCGACACATCAATAATAAATACGCATCAATATGTCTCACAGGGGTTACCATATTTTGTTTAAAGTGGTAAGATAGTGAAGATTTCGTTAATCCAAACATTTTTCATGGTATAATATATACCATATAATATACCATATATACCATATATAATAATCGTTGTTGAACTGTACAATGTGTGACAACTAGTATAACTATTATTACAGGTATTTTTTTTAAATTTAAATGTGTCAATAAATTGGATTGGTAATATGGCAAAAATGTCGATACGAATTTACACTCGGCTTATGTTTACTGTGAATACACTTATTATAAAACTCATAATATTTTTAACTCACATATTTGTGCATTGTTAATTATTTTTTAGTCGGTATTTAGTTGTTTTTTAATAGTAAAAGTTAAGATACAATTAAACGTGAATACACACACTTGCAAAAAAAATTAATTATCAGTGAGACTATAACAAGGTACAAATATAAATTTAAATCACGTGGTTATTTCGTTTAAATTGAATTGCAACTTGACGGGGTCTATTTGACAGGTAAATACGAGTATATTATATTTATTCCACGGTATCGCATGCATTCAATACAATTATTTTTGAAGAGTAATAACATTGTTTTTTAATATTTTAATACAATACAAGGCTGATGAATAATAGAGGTTTATTTTTATTCATATCTAAACAATTTACACTGCCGCATACAACACTTTTTGGATATACATTGTTCATAAATCATAAATCATCAGTTAACGTAACTCCAATCAGTATTCTTCGTTTCGAATTTGTACGTGTGCGTACTTACGCTGCCAAGATTTAAAATTTAAATAATCTAGTTATAGTTATAATATTGACCGTGAACAGAGTCAGGAATATTCCCATGCTCAACAATGTAGTGGTAATGGAGATTATACGTTGCCAATAAAACCGTCGTGTAAGTGTGCAAATACCTATCCACAATCTATTGATTTGTAATCGCACATTATTGGAAATATAAAGAGATGTAGGTACATGTGCTTGTATTGTTATCGCTAAAAATATTGATCATTAACTGCTACTTTTGAATTATAATGTTATTAATATAGCTAATAATATAAAGTTAAATTACTCGAATAACATATTTATTTTTTATATACTACGAGTATAATATTTATTATAAACTGCTAGTTAGAACTCTAAGGCTATAATACTTGGAACGTATATTAAAATACGGCATGTAGTTTGTGTTAAATGCAAAAAAACGTAAGTTTCTGATCAGCATAAAATATATTTAAGAACGAAATAAATAATTGTTTAATAGCGTTGTTAATAACAATAATATAAAAAGGTACGTACAAAAATCGTATAAATTAGATCATGAGGATATTGTGTAACCAAAAATAACAAAACACATATTAATATCAAAATTAAATCCAAATGTGTGCAGATAGATTTTTAATAAGAACGGGTTAACGGATTTAACGGGTTTAAAAAGTAAAGTATTAATCATCGTGGTCGGTATTAAATATTTGATAGTTAAATAATTTTGGAAAACGTTTTTAATGAGAAAAAAAAAGTATTAAATATAAAAATATCTAAATGAATATTGTAAAAATCGGATTGCACGAATATCGGAACCAAAATATTATTGAAAATAACCCATGTATATGGAAACTAGCTAATGTTCGAACTGTAAGGGTTTTTTAAAAGTTCGCTGTCTTTCCGAGAGTGCTAGCGAGTCGGTTGAAATTTTCGTTTACGTCGTCCGTAAGGAATCCATTTGATCCAACACGACTGTGGTGCGTGAGGTGGAAACGAACGTGAAGAGTTCATTGACCGAGGACGTCTGTGAAACCTTTCGTTCGTCGATGCCGGGCAACACGTTTTCGGCACTTTGTTCGGGCGGCGTGGTTTTGAATATCGCGGAGCAGTCGACGACTAGTGGTTTCTGTTCATCGGGAGGCTCTTTTTTGGGGACGTCGAAGAATCGCACGTCAGGCGGAACGAGCGCAGTCGGGCACATAGTGGTCATGTGAACATTGAACGCGGCGGACGACAGGAACGGGACGAGGCACGATTCGCACAGAAACGCACCGTACGAAGTAACGTGTTCACGCAGATGTTGCCGGAACAGCTCGGAATCCAGGAAGCGCTCGTGGCACAGCACGCACAAAACGTCGATGGTGGACGGCGGGTGCAGCGGCGCAGGATCGTCGGGCGAGGCCGCATCGTTTTCGGTCCGGACGCCGTTGATGCTGCTGCTGCTGTTACTGCTGCAACAAGCCTGTGGTTCCTTCGACGCCGGCGACGAGGGCGCCGGTGGTTGGTTAACGGTAGTTGCCGACGACATCTTGTACGTCCTGCGCTGGTGCCGCCGCACGGCCGCCGGGTCGTTGCAACGGTATTCGCACGACGCGTCGTCACGGTCGTGCGTCTTCAGCGATTCTTCGGAGCTGAAGAACTTGCCGCACCGGTGGCACAGGTACTTGCACACGTCGCCCACCACGTCGATGTGCGTACGTGTCTTGTGCAGGTTCAGCGCGCCCAGCTTCATGAACCTGCGCGAGCACACGGTGCACTGGTACTTGTAATTAGACTTGACGGTGGCCAGCTGCCCGTGCACCGTCTTCTTGTGGTACGTCAGTTTCCACGACGTTTTGAAGTCCATGTAGCACAGGTCGCACGTGTGCGTCTTCACGCCGGGCGCGTGCTTGAGCCGCCTGTGCAGGCAGAAGTACGTGTAATGCAGGCACATCTTGGCGCAGTGCTGGCACGAGAAGTACTGTGGTATGTGGAACCGGCTGCAATCGTCGTCGGCGCTCTCGGACTCGCGGCCGATGTCGGCCATCACGGACTCGACGTTGATGCCGTGCGTCAGCTTGTGCGTGGTCAGGCGCGAGTAGGTGCTGAACGCGGACGAGCACACCATGCACACGAACGCTTCCGAGTCGTCCGCCGCGTTCGCGTGCGCCGCACCCCGGTGCTCGTCCAGGCGCGCCGCGTCCGCGTACGTCGAGTCGCAGAACTCGCACTTGACCACCAACGCCAACTGCACTACCGCGTCGCCGGCCCGGTCCCCGTCCTCGTGCTCCTTGTCCGCGTGCCGGGCGAGCAGCCCGGGCCCGGGGGCTACGAACCCGCACGTGCCGCAGCAGTAGCACGTCTGCTCGGTCGACTCGGCCGCTCGGTGGGTCTTGACGTGCGACCTGAGCCGGGACGCGCGGCTCAGATACTGGCCGCATATGTGGCACTGGTACGGCTTGACGTCCATGTGCGATATCTCGTGCTCCTTGAGCGTGGACTTGTTCAGGAACGACTTGTCGCACACCTTGCACGTGAAGTTGCGCAGCCCGTCGTGGTACCGGTGGTGTATGTTCAGGCCCATGGACGACTTGAACGTCCGGCCGCAGATCTCGCACACCGCCTTGTCGTGCAGCTCGTGCCGGAATCGGATGTGATCGTACAGGTGATACTCGTCCGCGAACTCGGCCAGACACAGGTCGCAGTGCAGGTGCATCCGCGCGTACAGCGGGTGCTCGTGGAACTGCAAGTGGAACGCGTACCTCATCTTCGACGGGAACGTCTTGTCGCATAGCTCGCAATGCGGTACTTTGATGCCGTTGCACGCGTGCCGCAGCACGTTTATCTGCGTTTTGAACCCCGCCTTGCACACCCGGCACCGGTACACCGCGGGATGGCTGAACGTCTTCACCGGGCAGTGCACGTCGACCAGATGGTCGGCCACCGCGGACCGGTCACCGAACCACAGGTCGCACGATACGCACCCGAGGCCGTTGACCACGACCTCCGCCGTTTTTCGCGAGTGTTTGCCGACCAGATGTTCTACCAGGCTGGCCTGATCCGGCTGCGGCTGATCGCAGTACGCGCACAAATGCGGGAAATCGCTCACGTCAGCCGCGTGGACGGCGGACACGTGGTCGCGGAGTCCGTCCTCACTGTCCGCAATGTCCGCCGAGTCGCACAACGCGCATCGTCCGTCACGACGTCCACCGTCTCCTCCGCCGTCATTGCTGTAAGCGACGTGTTCGTCCAGCACGTGTTCCGCCATGATCCGGGCGTTGCCGAACTTTTCGCGACAATCGTAACACTCGTAGCACGTGACCGTCATGATGTTCACCTGATAGCGCGTCCCGTGCGATTTGATGTGCTCGGCCAACGACAACTTAAATGAACGGCCGCACACGGGACAAACGGTCTGATGGTGTTCCAGACTGTGGGCCAACGGGTGGCCGTCGTACGTCCGGCCACACGGCACGCATCTCGCAGCCGGACCGGGACGCATAGAGTACGCAAATGATCTCTTCTCGCACTGGTGATTGAACGAGTTAAACAGTGACTTGTTCTTCGACCCTTTGGGACGGCCTTTGCGGTTCCGGTCGGTTCCGGGTATCGCCGGTTCGTCGTCGGCGTCCGTAGTGCTGTCTCCGTCATCCGGTTTCGCGTACACTATCACTTGTTTGCTCGCGGCGATCGACATTTTCCTGTGGCCGCACAACGATCGCAGTTGACCGCGTTGAGGTTTTCGCATGAACACCACTTCGGGCGACGGATGGATAAAGTGTGCCGGCATCATCACTACTGGATGACCGTTGCATGAGGTGTACGTGGTCGCTTCCGTCGTATTTTCCTGAAATAAAAGAAACCCAAACCGTTCGGTGTATAGCTCTACGAAGTGATTTCGGTCGGGTTAAGGTACCCCCGTACGCTATCACGAGGTCTGGACCGTGAGTTCGTACAGTCCAATAAATTAATTTAAACATCTCCGCATTCATTTTTTAACATTCATTCATTCATTAGTTTTATATCTGATTACTGACCTTATCAAGAAATTATACCATCTCTACCGGCTCTATAGTATACGTCCCGTTACAAATCCGACAGCGTACGAGGTACCTACTAGATAGAATGAAAATTAATTTTGTTTTCTCTCTCTCTAAAATGTCGATAAAACTCGACCGACAATCGTCGACGATTATACTATTTTCCTCGATGTGCGTTATCGCGATAATAAAATCGGGTACCTAATATACGTTGCAACCACTGCGATGTGAGTATTATTAAACGTTAGTAGCCGACCTGATTGTTATTATTGTTATGATTGCTATCATTGTATTTGTTATTGTTGCCGTCATTTACCGTGCACAACAGTCGATTATTAGATTTGCCCGTCCTTGCGATTATTACAAGCGTCCGCGCGCCGCTGGTCGCGTTTCAATAGCCACCTGCACTATAGTGTGCTGCATATGTTATTACAAACAGGGACGGCGCGAAGGGAGGGCAATAGGGGCAGTTGCCCAGGGTCCCGTGCCTTAAATTATAATTAAGGTCACGCGGTTCTGATTTAACTGAACTTGAAATATTTTATTTATAGAAATTATAAGACTCAACATTTATTTTGCCCGGGGCCTCGCAAACTCTACCACTATCACCGATTACAAACGATAATTTATGATCATCAAATGAAGAAAAAAACCAAAACCATAGATACTTGTTATATAAGTATATAATGATCTCATCGGGTCAAATAATGGCGCGTACACAACTAACCGATCGGTGGATCGGTGTAATGAATTGAAAGTAATAATGAACTATTTAGAATACCCACTAGATAATGTAAACAATAATTACATTATAATGGTAATTTGGGTTTAGTTATTTGTAACCGACAGCACAATGACTGTACGGTTTTGAAACGTGGACGACGAAATTCATTCATTAAAATAATAATATTACGAAATACCTCGTTTTTCGAGTGCGTATTATAAAATCTGCAATATACCTTCTATTCAATGATATATGTATAGTATGATTTCAGATAATTGTATACATATAAATCGAATCATTTGTAGACCCGTATTGAAAATAATAAACGTCATTAAATAACAAAAAAATGAATATATAACTGTAAATTAACTAAAAAAATAAATACGTGATATGTGTAAAGTGATTTTAGGTTTTATAAAAAGCTTTTAGTTGATCATTTATTTTGAAAACAACTTAACCTGAATTGTAATAAAAATATTTAGTTATAACATTTAACAAAATAACTGAAATTCATGAATTTTACAAATAAAAATAAAATGCTTTGATATTCGATATTGCAGTTGGTGTAAATCATAACAACATGTGAGTAACCGTTATTTATTTAAAACACCTGTTTTCCTGTTTTATCAAATTTTAAAAGAGTAAATTGTTATATTATGTTTACAAAAAATTATATTTATGAACGAATATTTATCAGATAAATAAACATTTATCAAAATCAAAAATTATATGTATTTATTTTTATTTAGTATATATATATAACAATTTGTTTCTTAAGCATTGAACTTTTGAATTTTAATATCTAAGATAAATTTACAGAAATTAAGTACAAAGTAAGTTGTAGTGACATTTTGCAAAGTACTTTTAGTTAAATTATAAGAAGAAAATAATTTTTTTTAAATATTTTTTTCACTTATTTTTAGTTAATATAAATCATATTATTTTTTACATAAAAATACATATATTATCTTTTTTTTTGTTAAATACATTTATGTATAGTACCCCTAAATTAAATTTAATAATAATATGCAAATTTAAATATCTTAACAGAGCTCTAGTACAAAATAACCAACATAATTATTTCAATATATTATCAATCGTATTTAATAATATTCAATTGCCAATAGTATCATTTTATGATAATGCAATTTGTCGGTCAAGAGCGAAACGTGTACCTAATTTTGCGTCAAGGTTAATATTTTTCGCATGTTGTCGCTTTAGTTTCAGCCACCAAGTCACGTAACTATGTTATGATTTAATTTTTTTTATCCTGTATTATCGACCACAATTGGGAAGACCGAAGTGGTGACAGATAATGATAATCTGCTGATGTATGATTCACGTAGTACGCGACAATTTTGTAGAATCAAAAATCCTTCGACCTTAGATCACGGCCACCAATATTAAAGAATTAAATTGGAATTTTCGATGGGTTTATCAATAGAGATATCTATGCGCGTGGAGAAAAATATACATAGCTGGAATAGAAATATCTCTCAGGATGTCACTGTTCAGAAATATAAAATTGTAAAATAATATATTACCGTAGTACCTCTTGTGGAATGCCTCTATAATCCGTCTAATCTTTTATTTTATTATTTATATTTGGCTATTTATTTCTATAAATTGTTCTTATTGTTTTAAATTGCAACCAATTGAATAAAAAAAGTTTTTTAAAAAAATAAATAAAAAAAATTATATATGTTCATATTTGTATACGCTCGCAAAATAATCTATAATTGTATGCAATATGAATGTTTTAGATCAATTTCATTAGCTTATGGGAAATATTCACTTTTATTTATTTAAACAACATCGATATAAAATATAAATAATACGAGTGATAAGAATTACTTAGTAACGTACTAGTGTACATAATTATATCAAACAAAAAAAAATTTTAAATGCTGATAAAACTTCTATTTATTATTTATTAAAGTCCATTTAATAGTACATTTTTTCATATATAAACAGGTATTCACCGATGACTTTATATGTATCAACCAACCAAACACCAATCACTGGTGGACGTCGTTATAAAATAATCCCTATTAGTTTTTATTTTTATAGAAAAATGCCTTACAATTTAGTATTTGTAAAAGAATAGATTATTTAATTAGATTAGCTAAAAATGAATACGCAGAAACAAACTAAAGATCAAGAGAAAGTTAAAAACAGGAAAACTATTTTCAATAGTACCTCATTCAACAATAAATAGGAAATCATCAATAATTATAAGTAAAATAGGTTTATTAGAAAATTAAAACATAAATAATAAAAATTAATAACAATAAAAAACGAGACCAGAATGGTCCATATAAGGTAAATATTTAAAGTTTAAAATTTTTTTAATTTTTTGACGAAATATGGTTATATTTATTTATTATTATATTCTGTTGATAAAAATTATGACATAAAATATTTCTTCGTTAAAAATGAAATCATTTTTAAAAATGCCTACGTAATGTTCAAATATAAATAAATGTTTATTTTATAACGGTCTTAAGTTAATACACTTCTATTAACAATCTGAATATAGTGTTATAATGTATAACATTCAATTTATTACATGGGATTGGATTATTTACAACAAAATTATTACTGTAGACGTACAGTAAGTACCTAAATTATATTAAAAAATAAATATATGACCAAACATTATATTAGTATATATCCGTATATTTCTAATGAATGTTTAGTCAGCAATTTATCTGGATTACAACAAAATATATTTTAATTTTGTTAATTTTGACGAAAAAAACTATAATGTACATATGAATTACACTTTTAAATAATAATGAAAACTAAGAGATTTTCTTTTAACATTAATTAAAATTAACAATTTATAATTCATAAGCATCATAAATTTAAATTATGTAAAAATTTTCAACAAGATTCAAAATTTCAGTAAATTTAAAATAATTTTTTCTTAATTTCTATTGGAATGTTTCCTTTATAAAGGAAGTACGAACTCAAATATTAACTTAAATTTTTAGTTTATTAATATCGTAATAAAATATTTAAAATTTTAGTAGTGACTACTAAAGTTACATATTAGATAAAATATATCAATAGAAAATCATAAAATTGATTTATAAAAATACTTAAAAAAATTGTCAAATAAATTGATAAATTGTTATAACTTCTAAGTCTTATAATGAAGCGATTCTCTATTTAAGTTTTATATATATATATATATATATAAAATCTAAATTGAATTGTATTATTAGAATAAAACTTGAATGATATAATTAAGTTTACGAGTATAATACCATTCAATGATATTTAATTTGATTCAAATAAATCGAGTCTAATCGTATTGATTATGCTTTTTATTATTTTTAATGCATTATTTAGACATCAATTAAACCGTTTAACTAACTTTATGCTGTGCATAATTATCACAGGGGGGAATCATTTTGTGACGACGACATTGAACCTCATGTCTTTGTTTTTCGCTTTCTGTTACACGCCGGGCGAAGGTGAAAGTAGTGGTGGTGATGGCGGTGGTCGCCGATCTACCGGCCGAGGAACTTAACGGTTTTTTAGCGGTTTAGTCGTAAACAAATAGTGGTGGCTGTTTGCCAAAAAAAAAAAAAAATTAAATTTTATTAAAAATAATTTCAATAATTTTAAGTGGACAGACGTTTTCATTCTATTTTTTAGTGCTAAGACAGTCAGTGAACATGCGGTTTTCTAGTAGGTAGCAAACGGCAGTGCAAAACACTATTAGGGGTAAATTTGAAGTTCAAATAATTTTTTCGATCTATCGTACGCAGATTTTTCCCCGAGTCATGTTAAAACCTGTTGATATTATATATACTTTGCTCGCCATCTTACACCAACTGGTTTATTCTTCACAAGGTAAGTGTGTTTTGAAATAAAGAACAAATTTTTACTAAAAATATGTGCATAAGCCCCTACAACGTACCACCCAAAGTTTCAGTACATGCAATTTTTAACTGTCGTCGTCGGCGGAAAATTTAAAACTATATAGCTTGTGTGTGTGTGTGTGTTAATCACAAACAAGATTTTGTTTGCGATTAATACCCATGCGGATTTTCAAGAAGACGTACTTAAGGTTATGTGTATATGCTTGTTCGCGTTGTTGTAATCCATTTACATAAGTCTTGAGAAACTTTCGCTAATTATTTCATTTTTCACACGCTCATAGAAAATAACTGTTTTCCGTTAGCACATCTGCCGTATCTGTCATTATTTGTTTAGGTAACCGCTATAAACGGCAATCGATAATAATACCTGCGAAACGGTATAGCAAGATCTCAACGGAAAAATATCAACCAAATCGGTAAATATATGATTTTCTCGAACCACGCAACCGTGTCTTCATACATAGTGAGAGATTTGCTTTCAAATAATTCTAACTTGGACTTTATTTACGGCGTCGTTCGATAATCATAAATTTACTATATGTTAGATGCAAGTCCCTGCCGTATGGATTGTTATCATGTTGTTGATGATTGTTTTCAAGTTTCAAAATAAAAATATTTGTCATGTTGGAAAGTTGTAAATGTAAAAATATACTTCAATAATATATTTTAATCATTTCGAGCATCTGCCGACTTATATTGAGATCTAAGCATGTATTACATGTTGATTACTATTTAATGCCCAGAGAAATTATAATATTCGTTATTATTGGTTATATTCTTAGTATCTTTTCATCTTGTGTCACAGGTCGTTGCGTTGGATTATGATTTCTTTTTGGTTTTATGTTTATCATTTGAAAATCGCAGACCAAAACAAACTAAATGACACTTTCGTTGAAGTAATAATTATACTGTGCACAGAAGAATCAGAGTAAACTATTACTATTTAATACAATTTTTTTAATACATATAACTTACTATATATTATGTTGGGACTTATTTTGTATAATTTTGGAGTAGACCGTGTGTGTAGATTTTTATAAATAACTTTTTTTATTATTCATTTATCATAGTTTTACTGTCTTGAAGCTGTTTTTAAATTAGATAGAATTTCAGTAAGGATAATATTATACTTAAAAAATTATTTCTGTAACTATCTAAATAAATCTAGATAATTGATTGTGAGCATGTATAGAAATGGTTTGATATAATAACGATTTTTCATTTTTATTTTTCAAAGAAATCATACATAACGTTCTGGTATACCGACGAATTGTTTTGGTTTTATGACATTCACCTTAAGATAGTCTTTTACCTATATATCATTGTGCAGGTCTCTTTTATTTTTTTTTATTTCATTTAGTATGACAATCGATGAAAGCAATGAGACACTGCGGGTTTTGTTGTATTACATACAACTTCCAATCTATCATTATATTATTATTATTTTTATATTTTCTTACAACCAATATAATATAAAAACATTTTATGTGCATAGCATACTCGATAAAAAAAAAGTAAAATGAATATAAAATTTAGAAATAGTTTTATCTTTATAACTCAATACCTATTGCGGGGTAATATCAATATTGTGATTGAATTGCTACGCTTTTCGATGAAACGGAATTTAATTTTAAGATATATTTTAAAGATTATTCAATATACATGCTGTGTTGTTGCAAATATAATTTATCATTTTTATATTGATACTAACAATTAAATAAATATAAACCCTCATTCATACTTATATAAAATTTTAGAAAATTAAAGTAAAAATTAAAAAAAATTATCCGATAAAAAAACCAATTAAAAGCTAAAAACACCTTATGTCTTTAATATCTTTACTATATAATTTCAACAATAACATAAATGTTATAATATCGACTTATTATTCTGCTGTATGATAGCTTAAAATTTTTATAGTTTCAAAATGTATGGCATGGCATAGAAAAATTATAGGAAATTTTATAGTTTGACATATATTTGTAGACATATCAATGTTATTTACATAATTAAATTTAACTTGTACTAAGACATGTATTATAAATTAATAATTTAATTTGTGTCATATGATTTATTCAATCGTTATTAAAATATAAACTTGAAGTTTCAAAAAATTTTCTTTCATCTAACTGTGATATTTAAACATTTATGTAATAGTTTAAAACGGAAACCATATTACTACTATTTTCAATATTATTATTAATAGTTATTATATAATTTTTAAAAAGCATTTAATTGATGTTTAAGCACCACAAAGTGTATTTCCTGTCGAAAATTGAAGGCCTCAACACTTTATAGATTAGTTTCCGTTTTGGGCACATAATATGTATCCATCATTCGGTTCAATGCTATTTAATTTACATTCTAAAATATGCAAAAAAAAAAGGTATTATAAAAGCTAATAATGATTATAATCTAGGGGATTTGTATTTATATAATGAAATTAAGGAAATAAATTCAAAGCAATTTAACACTGATGTAGCTCACCAAAAAGGAAATATTTTAAATAACAGAATACACAATAAATAATGATGGATTGATATAACTCACTAAAATATACATTCAAAGCCACAATTCTTACGTTTTTAGTTAAAATAACAATTAACTAAACAGTTGTATGTTTTTTTATATCAAGAATAAATTTTGACTAAGAACATAATTCTTATTACTTAATGAATGAATATCACTTAATGAAACTTTATGTATTCTGATAATGATGTTAGAAGATATAAATAAATTTTATTTCAATCGAAAATAAATGAAAACCAATACATAGATGGAGTTTATAAATATGATAGGTTAGATTTTAGTATATGTAGTTTCTATAAATATTATAATTCAACTGCGTAAAATGTTACTTTAATACATATTTTTACAATTGTTCTCAAGAATAATTTGCCGTAATCTATTGATCATATACTTATGAATATTTAAACAGAGTATTTTATACGTCATACATATCGAACGAAATAATATTTGAGAACTATTTATATTTTATTGTATAACGTATAACGTGTCTAGAGAAATTAAATAGTAAATAGTAGATATAAGATGATTAAATGGTTAGTCATAAGAATTCATAATTCAGCTTAAGCATACATTTATAAGCTCGCTGCTATTATTATCATGGTTAATTGATTACAATAACTGAAATAAAAAAAATTATAAAACCCCTAAAAATATTATTTTTTTTTCTGTGCAAAATGATTAAAAAAAATTAATAAATTTCTGTGTAATATAACTGTACTCAATTAACAATAATCAAATGTAAAATCTTCTAGAGTGTAAATATCTAAATCTAAACCACAAAATTATACTATTATACATGAATATGAAAAAATTTCTTGGAAGAGATAACGTATCATATGAATTTCATTATGCACCTTAAGTAGGTAAGCCCTTAATTTATATGCACAACAGGCCTTTTCTTAATAAATCTATGTATACATTTAATCAAAAACATTTCCTAAAGAAACACTTGCAGTGTATTATTATTATTATTATTATTATTATTATTATTATTATTATTATTATTATT